ATATGGTCCTTTGGTGGTCTGCTACATTTTTCCTGAATAGCCCTGGAGTTAACCTTTGTATTCTGTTACATTAATTACACTGAGTTTATTTTAAGTGTTTGTAGGACATTTAAAAATATAATTTGCGGGTAAAACTATTATAGATTTGTGTTAACATTAATCTTGTTAGAATATTTATAAATTGTAGTTTTTTTTTTCATCATTAAGACGGAAAACCCAAGATTTTCAATAATTTTCAAAATAAAAACCAAGAAACCAAGACGGCAACTAAAAAAACCAAGATCTTGGGGAAAAAACCCAGCATTGGCATCCCTGTCTCAAGGGAGCTGAGCTCCTAGGTTCCGGCGTCTACCTACACCAATCGGCACTTGATGGGAGATAGCATCACGCTCGCCGCCGTGACTTCACATGAACAGTGGGGAATACCAGTGTTGCCACTTTTCTTTGACAAAAAAATATCCAAAACGGAGGCAAAAAATATATAAAAACATCTAAATTTGCGTGGAAAACATCTAGAAAAAACATCAAAATGGAAAGTCACAAATTACATAGCAACTGATATGACTTACCCTATAGAATCATGTCCTCATCTTAACTGAAGTCTGCCTTACAAGATCCATAGGATAAACATAGCTTGAATGATGAAGTTGAAGCTTCAGATCCAAAATGACTCTGATATGCTTTAGCTGTTCCAATTTCTTTTAATACTCAATCAGGGAGCTGATAAGTGGAACAGCCTTTTCCTACTTTAATCAGGCCAAATTTTATTGTCAAGATAGCATTTAAGAGGTCAAATTTTATGCGGTTTCTTAGAATAGATTTGATAAATTTACTTCAAATGAAAAACATCTAAAGAAACATCTACCATCTAATAACGCCATCTGAATGCAAGGGAAAACATCTAAATCTGGATGTGAAACATCTAAAGTGGCAACACTGGTGATTACCAGGGCTGCCAATACTTGGGTTTCTCCCCCAAGATCAGGGTTTTTATTTCACACCATAGGTTTAAATTCTGGAATCTTAGATTTTTTAAAAATAAGTTGATGATGAGTTGATTCAAGAACCAAAATAACAGCATTCTGGGCATTCCCGTAAGCGCCCTGTCCCTGTTTTCAGCAGCCAACGAAGAGTTCCGATACTAATTGTGCCAGTAGCATTCTGATTAAACGCCCGTCTTGCCTTTCCTGAGCCTCGAGCATCTGCCAGAACCTCTCGTCACTCTCCGTGCAGCAATCTCACCAGACTATGGTGATCCATCTGCTCCTTCGAACTGTACACGCTCTCCCATAAGGCACTAACTACGTCTGCTTATTCATGCATCAGTATTCCACTAAATTTTGAAGAGCCGGCATTTCCTAGTGAAAAGATCCAGACAATACTCCTCACCCGTGCCCTCCACAGGGAAGCATGCCACTCTGCACAAAGCATGCCTGTCCTGACCTTCCTGAGCATGCTTTCTGAGTCAGTTACAATCATGATGTGTGTGTTTGTGTGTGTCGTGTAAAGGGTGGTCTGCGTCTGCAGCTTACTTTTAAGTTTAACAAAAAAATAATATCCTTATATAACAAGTGTAAATGTTTCGTTTCGCAACTATAAAATTGTGCTTGTTTTCATTCATGAGTTTTTGTTTTATTGCTTATGTATTGCTTGGGTTTTGGGTGAGCTATGCTTGGGTTTTAATAAACAATCTTATTGGCATCCCTGCCAGCGATGACTGCAACACATCTCATAAGCTGACACTGGTTGCTAGGCTAGGCGGAGTATAGAGAAGAACAAAGTCTGGGCCCAGCCTGTAAGGAAAGGCAGATGGCCGATTTACTGGTGACTTTGCAGTAAGTATTTTCCCCCCTTTTGTCATTTGCTTTGGAGCAGCCAATGGTATCAAGTTCAGCTGCTTATAATTCTAATAGCACTTTTTGTTTTAATCAGCAGGATACTCCACTTTGCTCTGCCAACCATCCTTTGCTTAATTTATAACTTTGCTTGCGTATTTGGAACTCTTCTGCTTTTAATTTTAAGACATTAATTGGCTCTCCTCCGAACGGCATCATAATATGGTGCTGTTAGGAGGAGAGCCATTCTGGCCATAAATATATAATAAAAATATCCGAATGGGGCTTAGTTATATTAAAAATATGCCGGCTCCGTATAACGAAACAAATGCTCTAACAGGGTCTCAGCGATATGTTACTTGCGGACCTGTTTCTTATTGTTTCTGATTACCTGACAATTCTAAGGTACGCACGCAACACTGCAGACGATAGTAGCAGACGATAATAATAGCGACCGTTGAGACTGTCCATTGTCGAACTTTCTGCCGACGAACAAATCGCGGCAAATCTAGGATCGGCTCGGAAAAACGAAACAAATGCTCTAACAGGGTCTCAGCGATATGTTACTTGCGGACCTGTTTCTGTGACTATGCTTCACCGCCTAGGGTATCCCCCACGCCGTTACGTGCGGAGCGGATAGGGGCTAAACTAGATGGCTGGGACTCACGAGAGGCAGCTACCGCATCTCCTGCAACTTCCTCCAATTACTTCGCTCGTGAGTCCCAGGCACCTAGTTTAGCCCCCCATCCGTGCCGCGCGTAGCGGCGTGGGGGATACGCTCGGCGATGAGTTTAATCGCGTTTTGCGCATCCCGCAAGTCTGACATCTACCGCTGCTAAATCCTCAATCGGAAGAACAGTATTGCTAATCGCTTTCATCGTCTGTAATGTCTCGAAATTGTCAACGGTCGCTAATATCGTCTGCTAGTATCGTCTGCAGAAACGCTCGAAATTGTCAACGGTCGGTATATATCGTCTGCTACTACCGTGTGCAATGTTGATATTGTCAAGTAATCCTAGTTTTGCCGCGATTTGTTCCCTGGCAGAAAGTCCGTATTTTAGATATGCCTGAATACCGTTCGGATATTTTTTGATATTTTATGGCCAGAATGTGGCATCAAATTATGGTTGCCATATTATGATGCCATTCGGAGGAGAGCCCATTAATTTAGTCAACTCAAAATTAAGAAAAAAACGGCTATCCTCTGAATAACGGGCACATATTATGGCGGCCAGAAACACACCCTGACAGGGCCTCAGTCACATGTAAATTGAGGACTTCCGACGACTACCGCCACCGCCGAAAGTATAGCGGCGTGGAGCGGGGCTGAACTAGATGGCTGGGATTCACAAGCAAATAAAATGAAGGAAGCTGCAGGCAATGCGGTAGCCGCTGCTCGTGAGTCCCAGGCATCTAGTTTAGCCCCACTCCACGCCGTGGGTAGCGGCGTGGGAGATACTCTTGGCGGTGGCGGTAGTCGCTGGAAGTCTGCAGTTTAAGTCGCCGGAAGTCCGTGATTTACATGTGACTGAGTCCCTGTTAGGGTGTGTTTTTGGCCGCCATAATATGTGCCCGTTATTCGGAGGATAGCCGTAAAACTCTTTACAGTGTCATGAATTAAGAAGCTAACAAAACATTCACAGCATAGTTAACATAGTAGGGCTTAGATCTCTGATAAAAGCGATAACTGACTACATTTTAAAATGTCAGTGATATGAATGCCCAGAAGGTTATAGTAATTGTATAGTCAGGGCACAGAAAATACTGTGTGCATTATCGAGCTGATAAGCAGCGTATTGTAAGCAAAGCAGTATGTGGTGATTTAATATAAATTACATAACACTAAAATCCTAGATGTATGCATATACACAGTAGTTCCTAGTGTTTTCTGCTGTCTATGAATGCTGATAAACATGACACAATGTAACTAATTCACTCAGTGTTAGGACATAGCTTGTGAGTGTTGTGGTTCTGTAGGTAACTTCAATAAAAATAAATATAACTGGATTTCTCAACAGCCATTATGAAGGGGTAGGTTCCAGGAGATGGCACAGTTGCAGTAAACATGTATTGTGTGCACACATAGAAAGGCCACCTGAACAAATACAAACATCTGTACATAAATACTGAAGTCATTTATTAAACTGAGGTTTTCTTTTTTTTTTTTTTTTAAAGTATCCAGAAACCATGAGTTGTAAACCCTTTGGCTCGGTACTATGGATATCGCAACCCTTCGGCCTTGATTCCATGATAGGTACCGTAAATCTGGGAGAAGTGTGGCTTAGGAACAGTCACTGTGGACTTGAAGAGTCACACTTGGATTATTACAGTCTGAAGAGAGTGTACCGGGGGGAAAAAAAAGGGGGGGGGGGGGACCAGGGGATCTTTCCGATATTCCAACCTCAGAGGAAAGGTGAAAGACGTACAATCAGACTGCTACTGGTAATATCTGAGTTGGGACTCTTAATTGGCTGCTGAAGATGATGACGGAGCACATATGGGAATACCTCAAGTCCTATGATGTCAATTCTTGAAACTCATCTCAACTTAACTGAGAACTTGAAACATTTACAGAGAACAATCACAGGGAATAAGGAACAGCCTGACAGTTCTTGAAACAATCAAAGTCAAATAGGAACAGTCACTCCTGACTTGGAACAGACCCACAAGTCTTGAAACAGTCACAGCGAATTAGGAACATTCACAGAGAACTTGAAATAGTCCCACAAGTCTTGCAACAAACAAAGCAAATTAGGACAGTCCCAGAGGACTTGAAACATCACAGAGGACTTGAAACATCAGAGAGGACTTGAAACATCCCAGAGGACTTGAAACATCCCAGAGGACTTGAGACATCACAGAGGACTTGAAACAGTTCCACAGATCTTCAGACAATCAAAGTGAATTGGGAACAGTTACTCAGGACTTGGAATAGTCCGATGGGTCTTGAAATAATCCCAGCAAATTAGGAACAGTCACTCAGAACCTGGAACTGTGTCAATTCCAAAAGGTATCACAACTTTCCATTCACTGATCAGAATACCTTTTTTCACATCATCTCTTCTTTTGGTATCCTTCATCTTTCCTTCACCCTTTTTGTGTGTATACGTAAAACTGGTCTGATCCAAACTGATTTCACAGGCATTACATGAGTGGAGACTAAACATGGCTTCATTGCTGAACCTGTTTCCAGTGTTACTGGCACTGATTTGTGTGTTGGCCAGTACACCAGTCCAACGTGTCAACAACAGACCCATCATTGGTTAGTAGCCACTAAGTTGTATAGTTAAGTACATCTCCAAGGTATCAAGATATTGTTCGGCGTTTTTATTAATTGTTCTGGATTCACAGCTGTATGTTCACACTGGCTTAATATAGCATGCAGGAATTATTTTCCTTTTCTCCAATAACATGGATTTATTTCACATTATTTCAGTAAAGATAAAGATAATTCCATGGCTGACACTCCCAAAGCAATTTGTGACGATGATTTGGAGAGAAGAAAAACAAATTACATACCAAAGCATGACAGTATAAATAGGCTTGGCATAAATGTGCAGGCTATAATATTCAGACTCAAAGTAGGACATTGTAAACTCAGAGCACATCTTCTAGACAATGTTAAAGTCTCCTAATAGTATAATTTCCTTTCCTGCACTATATATAAACTCTATCCATCATAGAAGTGAAGTCATTATTCCAGTTATTACCTGCACAAGGATTTTGATCTTCATCAAATAGGTCTCACTGATTGACATATGCAGATGCGAAGCACTAAAGCAAACTCCAGATCATGTCTTACAAGATTGGTCCAGATTTTCTAGTCTGAGAGAGAATATCTGGCACACAGGGGGAACCTTTCAAGAAAAACTATGCAATATTAGAAAAGACCTCAAGCCTACCATCCTGGTTGTGACCTACAGAAACAAAGCAAACACTTATTGCCAGAGAAGAAAAAAATGCCGTTGGTATCTGAAGTTTTAAGCCTTCGCATATTCTAGACTATGGCGTAATGAGATAGAATGGTCGGCTACCTTTATCCTACTTCACCTTCCCAGACAGCTCCCACCATTTTTTTTTTTTTTCAGTATCTGGTGTGCAATTTTGTGAAAGTCTTGGTCACTGCAAAGCCTGTAGCACTGTGTTGTGAAACAGTTGCAATTTAAAATATATGCAAACACTTGTTTCAATTGTCCAAGAAAATTTCTTTTCGAAATATGTTTTACATTCTTATTAAAAAACGGCTAAAGTATGCTGGCCAGCTTTAGTATCACAATATATTGAAACAGATGATTGATTGATAACAGGCATCAGTAAAATGTAGAATTTGTGAATTTGATGTAAGTAAAAATTCCACAAAGAAGAAAAGAAATACTGACATTCTAAAAGAACTGAACATCAAGAAAGATTGCCTAGTAAACAGCATCTTGTCTTGGAGACTGAAATATTGGCCATGTAAAGCACCATGATGATTGGAAAACTTATAGCACAAGGCATGTTACCAGGATAGAAGGACCGGGGCTCACTAGCATGATGATGGAAGCACGTGATAAAAATGACACCTTAGGTAGGAAAGTTACTGAGGTGGAAGTGCTGGTAAGAAACTGATTTTCTTTCAGACAGACCATGATGATAGCAACGTTCTGCAAAGAAACTGCTGCATAATGATGTTAATAAAGTTCTAGCTCTTTAACTCTTTGAGTCCCAAGGAATGTGTCATACGTTCATAGTTTGCTATCTAGAAGCCCAATGAATGCAAGATGCACCGATTTGACGTATATCTTGACTATCCCTTGGGCCTATGATGCTAAACCCCCTGGGACTCAAAGAGTTAAATAAGGTTAAACGATAGTTGCATATTTTTTACAGAACTTCACAAACCAACAAAACAATTTATAGGCTGTTTTTTTTTTTTTTTCTAAGAAATGTTACATTCATTAGCTTGCAAATGTTTTTATAAACAGCACAGTGCTTATGCCATTGCCAACATTTATTTCAAATCTCTCTGCTACCAGTCAGTCGGCTCTGTGGCTGAGTCAATGCGAATGCTTCGTAATGCCTGGATGCCGGGTTAGATCCTAGCTGCAGGCCATGGGTCTTGTGTTGGTTTCGACAGTGGTATCAAGAAAGCCGACCATCCAGAAAGCCGACCGTCCAGAAAGCAATAGCAAACTATTGGACGTAAATTTGCCTTAAAAAACTATACAACAGCCAGGGGCTGTTGGGGTTGGTTCTGCAATGTCCTGTAAAGGATACACAACTATCCTAACCTGCTACCAGTCACCTGCAGCTGACTTCAAGCCCCAGTAAGCCGGGATTGTAAAACTATGTTCACAGCCCTCTAAGCCAAGGTCGCTGACTCTTTTCCTAAAATATGGCTGTCTGTTTGCTTTATAGCGTCATTTAAATGAACTACATTCATACTCAGATAAATAGCTTGTGTAGTCACAAAATGTCTCATCCCCCACAAAGTTGTTTATGTTGTTTGATATCTGTTGTTTCTTCTTGTTATTTTCATACAATAAAAAGTCTTTGATGGAGTGAGAACACCATAAGGCTTGATATCATCAGAAGAGCCCTCTTTCCACAAATATTTCATCCCAACATCTTCCTAACTCTCTTGAGGTACTGGCCTACCTGAATTCTGATTTCTGGATGTTCTTCTCTTGTTGTGAATTTTTATTAGTCCTTTAGACTTTAAAACATGGGTTCACTGCTTACAACACTTATCCCTTGATTATGTTGAACTGTACATAACATAACCCTTGACCCATAAGGGTCATGGAGGTGAATTGATGGAAACACTAGCACATATAACCGACCGTCTTTCTTTGTCTTCTGCTTGATGAATAAGTATGATAATTTAGTCCTGTCCATTTCTTGATGTTGTCATTCCAGGTTCATCTTTGCCCTACTTTTCTTCGACTCCCCCCTGTGTTCATTGAAGTAAATGTCTTTGCAGTCAAATCATGTCTCACCACGTGCCCAAACCAAGCTGGCTTGTGATGTTTCACCACTGCCAAGAGAGGCTCTTGATGTCCCGCAAATTTGTATTTTTGACATTTTTATTAGTTTTGTGTTCTAAATAACTAATTCGTAAAATGTGTCTAGCATTTAAGTTCGAAAGCCTGAATAATCCTTTCCATTGTGCTCACCCAAAAGCCAATCTGCCCACAGGAAGGCAGACCTCATCTCACTGCTGCCCAGTTCTCGTTCTGACTGACATATCTTTACCAGGATTGAATAAGCTTCTCTCCTATGGCCTTTTATATTATATTAAATGCCCCAGCTGCTATGTTCCTTTTTTATACCCTGATCCTGGCTACAAGAGCTATGCCTCAGTTCATGCAAATTGGAAACAGCTAGGTCACAGTTTTTGCAATAGGCAAGGACAGGGCTTTTTAGCTGGTGGCCCATGGGCCAAATCTGGCCCACAGAGGCCTAGCAAGTGGCCCACGGATAACCTGCCAATCATATTGTAATAATGATCTTTCTATACTGCGGCTCGGACCTCTGGCCTGCGACGATCCCCTTTCCAACACTTTGTCTCTGAGAAAACATAGTGGAACATCCCTGGGCTAGGACAGTATTTCCCATGTTTTAGATGAGCAGTGATGGGTGTTATCAGAAAATGATTTTTGTTTTAATTTTATGATTACATTTGCAGGCATTCTCACAGAACCAACAACTTCTTTGAAGTTTGGAGACGAATATGTTGAAGCCACATATGTACACTTTTTGGAAATGGCTGGAGCACGTGTTGTTCCTGTCAGGTGATTTTGTGTTCACCATAGTCTTATGGAAAATGTAGTCTTTTTCTTCTTCATATTCACCAGCTTTAAAATCTGGCAGTAAGTTATGCATGTTCTTTCACTTCTGGTCTTGTTCCAGAACTTGAGTTCAGTCTTGAGTTCATAAGTTTTACAGATCTGGTTTATTTGTGTGCAGATTGTTTCTCACCTGCCAGGTAGATCACCCTGAATTTGAAACAAAAGGCCTGATTTGTCACCTCTTATGACATGCTTGTTAGGAGACAGTGGGTCTGTTCCTTCCTCCCCCCGCTGGAGCCCTGGAGTCTACACGGGGAAGACAATGTATTAAATCATCAGTGCCCTCATATGGATTCTGGGGCCCCGTTTGGGGGAGAAAAAGAACAGACCAACTGCTCCCTAACATATACATATAAAAAGTAAAAGTCCCTTTTTCCACGCCTTCCCATGTAATGGCATATAAGGCTAGGCCATTTTTTTATAGACTTATCGGCACTTGGTGGTTAATGGGGCATCACCCCAGCAGCCTTTACTTCCAGGACTCCTGGTACCCACTCAAGGCAGGGTCGACCTGAGAGACAGGGTCATTTTAACATATACATATGTGTATATATTATTATTTTTATGTGCCATTTAGCACATACAAATAATAATAATAAATTTATTATTAATAAACAGTTAAATAAGGCTTTGAGGCTTCGAGATCCTCCCAATGCTTTCTTAGTGTTGGCACTCCTGCCTTTTTTGTTTCATTAATATTGCCCTCAGTAACGAAATTAATATGTAGAAATATTTTATATATTTTATTAACATTCAAAACATTTTATAAAAGCCTTTGGCTGCACTGAAGTGGCTGTCCCACTTGGCTGGTACTTCTGGGATTAAACATGGACCACTGCCTCTGCAGGCAAGCACACTAAGCCAGGCAACTACTGCTCTCTTCATGATGGAAATTAACGAAATAATATTATTTTAGTCAAACAGGAACAGTTAAGTGCATTTTGCTGTTGATGATCTCTGTGAATGTCAGCCAGTGAGACAGATCAAAGTGTTTTTAGTACTGAATGCTGAAAAGTTTGTTACATATCCTTTAAGAAACATTGCAGAACTAATCACAGAAATTGTTGGGCTGTTTGTGATTTCACTGGGCAGTTTTTACGTTCAGTAGTTTGTCATTGCTTTCTGAACAGGCTGTTTCACCAATTGCTAGTCAATATTCACAGTGAAGAACACTTTTGACCACGATTATTCATAGGAAAAGAGTAAATATAATTGAGAGGTCAAATATTTATCATAACTCATAGTTTGAGCTTTACCTATCACTCTGGAGATAAAAATGAACAGATTTTACAAATGAAAAAAAAAAAAAGAAATAGTTTGTCTACTTAGAGAAACTGTAATGTTGTCAATTGTCAGTGGTCACTTTAAGCAGAATAATGAGAACCAGAAACTTGTATCTTCCTTGACGCACAGAAATGTTTTAAAAAAAGTTTTGAAGAAGAGGAAAAAGAATAGAAGTAATTACTCATGAAAGCAATTGATCTTTTCTTTTTTTTTTTTCAGAGGAAAACAACCAGTTGAGTATTATCAAAAATTATTTAGTGTGATCAATGGGTGAGTAATTTAATTCTTTATTTTTATTATAGTTATTTATTTTCTTTTTTTTTCTGGGTTGATAAAAAAATGAATAATTTAAAAAAAAAAACTATGAAGAAAAATTGTGAAAGCATTACTTTCAAAGTGGCAGTATACGCAAAGGTAATAACTAATGGGGAAGTCAGTTTTCTTTACTATGTTTTGACCAAATATGAAAAAAGTAAGTGAAATGTTGCTATATAAATATATGTAAGCAGGACATGAAGGATACAGGCATTGAGGTAGATTCATGGAGAGGGAGAATGCAATGGTCAGTGTTGCAGGGAGGAAGAAAATCAGGGAAGGAATGAGAATGAAGGAAAAAGTTATTTGCAGAAAAGGTGAGAGTTCAACATCTGAGAAGAAGCGCACTAAATACATGTGATGGCAACAACGGTCCAGAAATCCCATACTCTAATTGTGGAAGTCTAATAGGGGAAAGTTGAAGAAGACAAACAAAAGTAGACATAAACAGAAGACAGTCCTGAAGTCATATGTTGTTACAGTTTGTGAGACAGTGAAAGCAGAGAGCAATATTTAACTTTGTTTACTTGTGTCAACAGGGTGTTTTTCCCAGGTGGTGAGGCAGACATATCTACGGGTCCCTATTACCAGTCAGGAAGATACTTGTATGATATGGCTATCAAGGTAATACAGGTTTTGTTTTTTTGCTGGTCTAATGAAATGGCACAGTCTATCTTCCCTGTGTGGTTTCCGGGTTCCATTACGGATGGGGGGAAAAAGAATAGACCCACTGGGCCCTAACAAGCATGTAGTAAAAGTTGACTAATTAGAAATATTTTCTTCCAAGTCAGAGTGCATCTGTCTGTGAGAGGCAAGGAACCAACAGTCTATGTACAAATAAGCCAGATTTGTAAGAAGGATGTGCATGCAAACCTCAAGTTCTAGAACAAGACTGTAGTCCAGAAGTGGATGAACAAGCATACATTTCTGCCGAAGTTTACGCCCAGTGAACGCAAAGAAGAAGAAGAGCACAGCCTAGTTTTGACAACTAGTCTGTTTATTTGCAATGGGGCACTTAATATAAATTAAAATGTACAAAAATCTCCTCCTGCAGATATCATGAGGAGAATTTCAGCTCCATGCACAAGTTCTGTAGCACCAAAGAGTATCTCTATGTGTACACACAAGAATTAACAATGCTATACATTTAATTTTTCTGGACATGCTTGATAATTTCTCTTCCAAAAACCAGTGTATTCTTTTCTGTTTGCAACTGCAAAGGAGTTTATGGCAACATGTATTTTGCTTCTCCTAGATCTTTGTCATTCTCTAAGACAGCTCAGTCTCCACCTCCAGCTTCTGTAAAAGTCCACTTGCTGCCTAACTTGAGTTGAACTCTGTATTTTAGCCAGAAGCTGATGCTGTATCAGCAAGCCACTCCATTTATAAGCTACCAACAGCATATGTGAACTCAGTATTGGCTGGAAAGCTTAGCATAAAGCTTAGAGTATTTGCATTTCCAAACTTATAGATTTTTCTTGCTGTCTTTTCCTTACTTAAAATACAAACTGTGTTATCCAGTTTTGTATTTAAGTATTTTTGTTATTTTTTTCATTGATAAAGACTTTGCTGGAAACTTTTTCTTGTATTTGTGTAATTCCTTAATCAAAACTGCCTATTCATATCATGTCTTCAAGAATCATGATTCTCAAGTATTACCTCAGTCATCCTAAATGTGTATTCTAACCTGAACAGCTGGTTTGAAATACTAAATGGTATCAGAAATATAAAGTGATAAAATGGGCCTCAGTTTGAATAATGGGAAGACAGAATTAATGGTGATTTCCAAGAAAAGACTTGTGCCTAAATGTATAATAAAAGTCAAAGGCATTATTTTATGACAAGTACAGAAATGTAAGTATCTAGTCACAAAGATATCACACGACGGAAGATGTATCACAGAGATAAAGAAAAAAATAGGACAGGCCAAAACTGCCTTTTATAAAATGAAGAACGTGTTGTGCAATAAATCCATGTCATTGGAGATAAGGAAAAGAATTCTTGCATGCTATATTAAGCCAGTGTGAACATACAGCTGTGAATCCTGGACAATTGCGAAAAAATATATTGTAGCCATGGAGATATGGTTCTACAGAAGAATCCTTAGAATACCTTGGACAGCTAAGAAGAGCAACCCAGATGTTTTGAAAGAGGCGAGTGCTCAAAGACACTTATCACAATCATCAGAAAGAGACGATCATCAATTTTTGGTCATGTTATGAGCAAAGGGAAAATGGGACATGCTGTGACCACTGGAAAGATCTGTGGAGAGAGAGAGGAAGAGAGAGAGGCAGACAGCACAAGAAGATTTTTGACAGCCTTTTGTCATAGCGTGGAGGAGTGTCAACACACAAACTGATACCCACAGTTATAGATTGCAAATTGTCGAGAGTCATGATCGCCCACACAAGTTGGCAAGGCACTTGATGATGATGATGATCAAAAATACGGATCATAAAGTATCAGACTGACTGAATGCAAAATCTGGCTCAGAAATTTAAGAAAATAATCACATGTACATATGGACCAGTTTTTAATCAACTGAAACCTGCATTATTAGCTCGCTTTGACTTGCTCATTTATCTCCAGCCCACTGGTCATGAAAGGAATAAAAGATAGAAGAAGACAGCAGTTTCTGAGCAGTATTATATCTTGACAAATGAAAGATATTCTGTAAATTGAAACATACTACTAGAGAATAAGAAGCATGATGGTCCTTGCTAAATTGAGAGAGCACATTGATGATGATTTTGTAGCTGTTCGCTTATTGTGCTTTTGTGAAGTGTGTTAACATGTTTTGAAACTGGCACATTTTATTTGACAGGCCAATGATGCTGGGGATTATTTTCCGATTTGGGGAACATGCGATGGATTACAACTGTTGACATATCTTACAGCAAAAAAGGATGTCCTTCAGAACACAGACACAGAAAACTTAACACTGCCATTGCAATTTCAGCAAGGTATCTTTTTCTTGTAGTCCATAACATGTGGTGTTAGTAATCATGTCTGTCCACAACCTTCTGTTTTGTGTACTTTCAGTCAATTCTGACATAAGTGATCTTCCATACCATGATGTCAGACTGTCCAGTATCTTTGCTTTCGGTTTCCCTCTAACTCTTTTCCCCTCCAACTTTCCCACTGTCACGATGTACTCCAGTTATCTCCTTCTCATTACATGACAAAATAACGTTGATTGTCTCTTTAATGAGTCAGTTTCTTTCAGGACATCTTAATCACTCTTTTTTATCTATCCAGGGTGTTCGCATTATCCATCTATAAACCCACATCTCTGCCGTTTCCTCACTGTAAGACATCTTTAGAACTGGCTGTCAAAGAATTTAAATGTTGTGTGCAGTGTCACACACTAAGGTTAAAAAAGTTTTGGGGAGGCTGTTTATCATGCTATGACTTTTTGGCATACCATCTTTTCTCGAATCCTCCCCCTTGAGTGTTTAAAGTATGTACTGCAGCAGTATGTAAAATTTATGTTAAAATATTGTGTCATGAAAATTCAGTCAGTCAGTAGCATATCCTTTGCAGAACCTTGCTTATATAACAACCCTCCTGAAAACTTCTCGATCACAAGCAAGATGTCCCGCATCCGATGCACCCATCTGGAGATCATCTCCCACATCCTGCATTCATCTTCTCTTTGGCCTTTCACTTCCTCTCTTCCAAGGCATATACCCCGCCATTATTGTTCTCTCTAAACTTTCATGACAGTTCAAGTGACCAAAATATTTTAATTTTCTGTGTTATATCGTCTTTAATAACCAACTTTCTTAAGTATTCAGTTCTTGAAGTATGGGTGCATTAAAAAAAAAAATGAGAATTCAAGATGTGATATGCAGACAAAATCACCATCTTTACTTTCGTTCTTTCTTTTTTTCTTTCTTTCTTTCTTTCTTTCTTTCTTTCTTTCTTTCTTTCTTTCTTTCTTTCTTTCTTTCTTTCTTTCTTTCTTTCTTTCTTTCTTTCTTTCTTTCTTTCTTTCTTTCTTTCTTTCTTTCTTTCTTTCTTTTTCTTTCTTTCTTTCTTTCTTTCTTTCTTTCTTTCTTTCTTTCTTTCTTTCTTTCTTTCTTTCTTTCTTTCTTTCTTTCTTTCTTTCTTTCTTTCTTTCTTTCTTTCTTTCTTTCTTTCTTTCTTTCTTTCTTTCTTTCTTTCTTTCTTTCTTTCTTTCTTTCTTTCTTTCTTTCTTTCTTTCTTTCACTTCTGCTGCTGCTGCTTTTTATTTTTCTCAAAGAATGCAGTGCTTTCATGGCTGCTAAAGTATTATTATGCGTGTGAGTATATATGGGTGTGCACACGCGTTTGTAATTATGTATGCATGATTGCATATATTTATCATGCCATACCTTGTATTTGTACTTAGTATTCACATTATGTATAATAGTAACTTTTAAAATTCATACTGTGTATTACTAATATTACTACTATTATGAATTTAACAGGCCTAATACATCAGATATAATTTATGTGTGAAAGAAAAGTGGTTGTGGGGGGGGGGGAGGGGTGGTTGAGAGCTTAGTTTGACACAAGCCTGTATACCCAATTTGTAACCCTTTGAAAATAAAGTTTGTTCTTTCTCTTCTCTTTCTTTTGCTGGACCTTCTTGTACATCTTCCTCTTTTGTTTCTCACGCCTCTTGTTCCTTCTGTCTTTGTGTCCTTTTCCATCTCCCTTCTTCTCAAACATTAAGGCCACGGCTTCAAGCATAATGAAATCATTAAATTTCATTTTCTTCTTTCTCTTCTTCTGCTTTTTTTTTTCTATTTGCTGCAGCAAAGTGTTGGGCAGAGATGTAAGGATCATCTATGTGCTTTTTGTAATTCTTTGTATAAGTTGGTCTTCATTTCTTTAAGGTTCTTGATGCCATCGTTCTATTTTATGTGTTCTTCCCCTTGCTCTGTATTATATTTCTTCAGTGTAGCTCGCTATGGCAGTTGCTACCTGCATATCCTCAGATGGCCAAATCATATCATTTGTGATTTTTAAAAATAAATTTTATAAATAATTACAGTCCTAGTCTTCTTTCATTTTCTTAATTTTTAGTTGTTATCTCTTCTTGCTACTCCATCAGCTCTCCTGAGACATCTCATCTCAGTTATGGTTTCCACTCATTATTTGTGGTCTGGGTCCATGTTTGACACTAGTAGTATGAAGTTAACCAACAGTTATCAGAGCATTTGCTCAACTAATATACAGTTTGTATAAAATATTTTGCTAACAGAGTTCAAGCTACGTTATTTTTGTGTTCCCCCCCCCCCAGGATACCAAGAAAGTCGACTGTTCAAAGATGCCTCAGACAAGTTATTAGGTTACTTATCATCAGAAGCCATCACTCAGAACAACCACCATTTTAGTCTCCTTCTTCACGTGAGTACATCTTCTCTTCTTCAGTTCCTCTTTTAACATTTTGGCTGTCAAGGGACTATAAGTACATGATAACATAAATTGTAATTTCCCATGTGCATTCTGGGTCCCTGGTTTTGTGAAAAAACAATATACCCACTGCCCCCCCCAACAATCCCCCCCCCCCCCCCCCCCCCCCACCACCACCAACAAGCGTCTTGTAAAAAGTAATTGATTACAGATTTTCTGAAACTGGGTATGTTGGTCAATAGATGCAGATATTGCAGCCTATCTGTAAACCAAAATGCAGAGTGCCAACCTTTTTTTTTTTTAAAAGAGCAAATGCAGAAGGGCAGAAAGAAAGATGTGACATTGAATCCTGAGCAGTCTATATTTTCTGACGAGAATGCAAAAAATGCAGGCTTCTCCCAAGGACTAGTTCTGTGTAGGTAGATGCTTATACAATGAGTGTGGGTTTGAATTCATGACACCCAACATCCTTATAATAAACTGGACTAGAGCCTGAATTAAGTTGATAAAGCAAACACAGTTGTGGTCCTTAAATACACAGGCCTGCAGGTTAAAGTTATATTAAATTTTTTTTAGACCTACAGCTTACACTGGTTTGGTATAGCTATTTCAGGTGCCCTAATTATAACTTTAGAAATTGAATGGTGTGTCTGCACTTTGCTCTGTTGGTCTGCCATCTGTATTGAGATTATTTTATTTTGAAATGTTTCTAAATGGTTGTTAATTCTTATAGATGATACTTGCTGCTAGTATATGTTCTTTATTAATCACAGATCCTTTCCATAAGTGTTGAGTTTTTCTAATAATTTGATGATTTCCTCATGTTTTTCAAAAGCTTTCTACATACATCCAGTTTTAACATATGGCTGTGAATCCTGGACAATAGGTAGACAGGCCAAATAATTTCTTGAGGCCTCAGAGATGTGGTTTTACAGAAGAATTCTTTGAATACCATGGACAGCCATAAAGAGCAACTAAGAGGTTTTAAAAGTGGCAGGAGCCCGAAGACAACTGTTCACAGACATCAGAAAGGGACAGTCATAATTTTTCAGCCATGTTATGAGAAGAGGGAAAATAGAACATGTTGTGACCACTGGAAAGATATGTGGAAGGACGGACAAAGAAAGACAACGAGAGAAGATGCTTGAAAGTCTTGTTGCATGGCATGGAGGTGTGTCGGCACAGGAACTGGTACATGCTGCAGGGGATCGCAGATTGTGGAGAGGCATGATCGCCCATGCCAGTCGGCAAGGCAGCTGATGATGATGATGATAGTCAGTGAAGCAGAAGTATTTTGCTTCTGTAGCTTTTCCTGGCAATATCTTGAGAATGTATATGTCACTGTGTATACATTTTCATTCCTTGCTATTTTGTAATAGTAAAATCTTATAACTCAACTGGTGTGCTGGGAATTAATTAATTGAATAAGGTTGGACACCTGTGAGACCGATGTTCATTTGATGAAATTAAGTACTGGGAAAAAAATTGTAGTACATGGCTTTCAATCAAGTTAATAAATCCTGTATCAGGCCTCAACTATAGACTCAGTTTAACTCCCCCCCCCCCCCAATCCCAGTCTGGTGTTTACATCTACTGTCAGCACGTCCACTAGGACTTAGAAAGGATGTACTTTGGTCTGTGGCTCCTATAAGTAAGTAAAGTAAAGTGAAGGGCCCTTTTTACACCATAGGCACGGTGGGAATATGATGGTAGCCGCACATTTTTATAGATCAGAGGGCACTCGATGGTGAATGTGGTCAGCATCACCCAGCTGCCTTTACTTCCCAGGACTTGACATGGTACTCATTTTAGGCTAGATCAACTTTGCAGCCAAGGTTGTTAGAGAAATTGACTGGATGTCAGTTGGAAACCAAGATCTTTGGGCTAGCGGCCACCACCCTAAGTATAGACAAATAAATACAAATGCTTACATGTGTGTGTATATATATATATATATATGGTTAATATCTCTTTCCAGGATTACAGCAACATTTCAACCCTGAACAGTTTCTACCGCTTAATTTCTACTAGCATTGGACCTGATCAGAAAGAATTTGTGTCCACATTTGAAGGTTGGTGCGTGTGTGCGCGCGTGCGTGCATGTGTGTACCTGCACAAGTATGTGGGATATTTATTTGTTAGGATATATGTGTGTTTAACTTACATTTAGCAATTTATTTGAAGTGGCATGCATTTGTGGTCGTATATATTGGCAGCTTGAATGGCGTGCTGTTTTTAAATGACTGTTCATTTACATTAATATAATCAAACTGCTACTAGAATGTGACTTCTTTGCTGGCTGCTAAGATAAGAATGGATTGCATTTGGGAATGTAACAAGTACTGCGATGTCAGTTCTTGACTGAGCTCAACTTAAATCACTGTCTTTAATCTGAAATGAGATAGCACATTTAAGACCTTGGACGGTCTTTCGCCACATATTTTATAAAAGACAGACTGGAGTTAAGTGGCATAGGAGGGAGTTCTTATACTCAAGCACAACAGCTGCCAGCCCCTCAACAATTTTCCGTCAGCACTAGAGTTCAGTAGCAGGGGAGTGCTGATAATTGTGCACACCAGCCACCTTCCACCCCCCTTCCCCCTTTCCACCCCTTTCTCTCGCAGTTGGTTGGATTTGTAAAGATCTTCTGTGTGTTCGCAGTTGGTTGAACATGGTCACTTTTTTGTTTGTTTTCATGAATGGACTGGACTGGACTTATTATGGAATGAAGTTAAAAGTATTCCCCCCAGGAGATACTGCCATTACAAGTGAAGTATTAGGTCTTCACACATTTTAGGTTACATAATGTGAGGTTGCATGACCAGTTCTTCCCCAAATTACCTGTCCTTCACAGACAGTTAGCAGAAAATTCTGGAAATTATTGGGTAACCATTTCATTTTTGGCTTGATCAGTGTTAGATCTGTTCTAAAATATTGTCTTTAAATATTTCTTACACTTGTTATCCTCTTTTGCTACAGAAATATTTGCTGAACTGCACCACTTCGAAATTTACCTATGACTCTTGCAGCCAAAACCAAACACTGCTACACTAAAAATATTTTTTAGGCTGTAATCACTAAAAAGTTGTTGAAGTTGAATTCGAATCAGAATCAATATTACAGCACTCGGGCATCCTCATAAGCACTCTGTCCCCATCTTCAGCAGCAAGTGAAGAGTTCCAGTTCCTATAATACCAGTAACTGATTGTATATCTGTCTCGCTCTTCCCTTTAGTGTTGAGTGTCAGCCAGATCCAACAAACAACACGTTGCACTTAACATTTAAATAGTGTTCATCAATTTATAAGAAATGTTTGAACTTAAACAGGAAAAACAAAAACAAAAAATTTTTTTTTTTAATCTGTTATGTCTTGACTTATGAGCACAAGAAAATAAATGTTTTTCAACTTTAGTGAGGAAAACAAATTGTTACAATTCAAAATAAATAAGGTGTACATATACATTATTATTATAAAAAAAATATTTCAATACAGAATGAACTTAAGTACGTAGTTCATATGACATTTACACTACACAGAAAATAACAGATATGATGTTTAACATGTACACTACACAACAAATAAAACATATAACATATATATTAATATGAATTATAACATATAATATGTGCATTACCCACACAAACACACACACACATTACACACACACACACACACACACACACACACACACACACACACACACACACACACACACACACACACACACACACACACACACACACACACACACACACACACACACTATATAAAATACTACTATGTCAAAAATCCTTTCACTCAGTTTTATTTCCTTTTCACTCCTCTTACATACTTTGAAGAACCTTGATGCCTAAGTAGCATGTGGTCCAAATCCATTGAAAATTGTTCATCATGAAACAGTTTCACATAGTTTATACTTTGGTATTTTCAAAAATGGAATACCATATACTTCAATTTTCTGGCTGGTCTTGAAATCGACCCTGTCATCAAACGGAATTTCTCAAAGGTTCCGGTGAATTCCGGTTGGTCTTTCTTAGGAGAGGTACGTGATGAAGAAATACTTTGGGTATTTTCGGAACGGTTCCTTTTTGAACTGTCTGTTTCTGCCGCACTGCATATAAGTATTAATTCGAATCTGGTCACTGGAAAATATCAGCTGAGATGTCACAATGTCATTACTTGGATTTTATATATTGAAGATTTCAGATGTACCATTGAATATTATGGTACCAAATCTGTAATACGTTGGATCTGCACACTGGAACTGAAATGTCAAAATGTAATTTCTTGGCTGTTATATATTGAAAATTTCAGATGTACCATTGAGTAATTTGGCACCAAATCAGTGGTAAATTGGATCTGCATACTGGGACTGAAATGTTAAAATGTCATTTCGATAGTTCGAAGCGCCATTGTCCTCAAACCGTAATGATCTATTTATGCCTCACTAAAATAAATGTGAGTTTGCCAGACTAGATTCTATACAGATCTTTAGTAGCCTTAAAAGACAGAAATCTTTGGTGTTTATTAAGAACAGAATTCAAATATTCTATCATTTGTTTATCTCTCATCTGTAATGCCACCCTCTGAGTAGCGAACATGTGGCACGTTACACCCTGTGGGTGCTTACCAAGACTTGCATGTGTAGTGGTTGTGTACCTGTTGTCTGACAAAAAGGTTTGATCCCTTGTTGTAACAAGACTGAAGGTTTTCCTGATCAGTACAGCAATAAGTTTGACTTCTGGGAATAAAAGGGGATGAGAAATGAAATTTGTCACCTGACTTAGTTATGCCTGCTTGTCTTTCTCCATTTACCTCAGTGAAGTGTTGGGGGATGTGTAAAGATCTTCTGTGTGTTATTTTTAATGCTCTGCATAGAATGGTCTTCATTTCTTAAGGCTGATTGATGCTATTGAACTATGTCTTTATCCAGTATATGTGGCACTTTACAACTCTCCTGCATTTTTGTCAGAATTTAGCATCCAACACTGATGTTACAGCACTCAGAATGGACCCACATATGCTCAGTATCCCTCAAATTATTTGAGGGTGTATGTTTTACTTATAGTTCCATTCACTGTGTTGTTTCACAAATATCTACTCTATCCTGTACCACATTTTTTGTTTACATGTGAAAAATTGGCTTCCTGGTTGCATTAACCGTAGCAACACATAGTCATCCATTTGTGTTTTCTCTGCAAAAGATTAGCATTTATAGCCAGAAGTATTCTCCCTGACTCAGCCTGAAAGGTTCCCTTGGAGGAATCTTGGAGACTAGCCCAGTCCTGCCCTCACTGAGAAGAAAAGCCAGTATAGGATGATGTCAAGAACTCCCCTTTGTTATACTCCCATACTCAATATTTAAATAGCTTAAAGGTAGCATCACTGCCATGCCATAACCATTGTTTTTTTCCCCCTTATACTGTGCAGTGTGGTTTGTTTCTCCAGTATTGCAGTCTGCAGGATTACACTTCAAGGATGAGAATCCTACATGTAGAAATCCTGGCTAGCCCCGTTCACGTGAAAGGTTATTTTGAAGCCCCCTTATAATAACAAATTAACCAGAAGTCTAGACTGGGCCGTGTACTATCTACTTGTATTTGTGCTTTTGTTGCAGCATTCAAGTACCCAATCTACGGTGTACAGTGGCACCCAGAGAAGAACATTTTCCTGTGGCGTACAGACCAAGCTATCAGTCATGACTTCCATGCTGTTCAGGTCACACAGTACATGGCTAACTTCTTTATTAATGAAGGTCAGTAATCTCTGTACTGAGCTATTGGCTTGTCTTTCATTTTTGACTGAGTCTTCTGTGAACTTCCTCAGATACTCATCGTCATCAGTTGGCTTGCCGGCTAGCATGGGCAATCAGACCTCCAAATTGTGTAATCTCCAATAACGTGAATCAGTTTCATGTGCTGAAAACGTTCCATGCCTTGACAGTAGACTGTCAAGCATCTTCTCTTGTTATTTTCTTTTATCTCTTTCCATAAATTTTCAGTTTTTTCACAGGTTCTAGTTTTTGTTTTTTTAATAATGATGTGGGCATAATAAATTTAAAAAAATAGATTGTGCCTGATCTTTGTGGTAAGTTGTATTTGTACCATAGCCTCCTTCAAAGCATTTAGTTTACTCAACACTTCTGATACTTTTTGTTCTTCACTTCCTCTTTTACCGCTTTGGGAGATATAAGGTTATGCTTCTTGCTCTTCTGACCGCCATGACCATATGCTTCTCCTCTTTTAGTGTATGCCTTGTATAGTATGGCATCACAAAGCATTCACTCTGAGTGGGCAAACATTTGACTTGCTGTCTTTGTATGTAGTTTAGGATTGGTTCTATGCTGAATTTTTTTCCTCTTCGAACCTCATTCCTGATTTAATCTCTTCTGGTGGCTCTTGCAGTCTTTCTCAGATATCTTTTTTCCATGGTTACTAATTTTCTTTTCTGATTTATTGTGAGTGACGATGCATGAACAACAAGCAGCAGTCAGAGTAGCTGGTGAAACATCAGATTGGTTTAGGTGCTGAGAGAAGTAAGTAAGACAGGGGTGCATTCTCTCTCCATCCCATTTTAATATATGTGCTGAGAATAATATGAGAAAGGTAATTAGTAAAGAGATCCATGATGGCTTCGATCATCTCAAAACTGGAGGAAGAACTATCCCAGAACTCAGATATGCAGACGACACAGTTCTTCTAATTTTGAATGTCAAAAAACAAAGTAAAGAAAAGAATCAATTTCTGAAACTGAAAAAACCCATAAAATTATGTTCACAGTGACTACGGCACACCAACCTTGTATTGAAATCCACAACGAAAATGCAACAGATTTTGACTATTTATGCTCAATAATGAACAAAATGACAACTGCACAAAAGAAGTCATAACAAGACTTGCTTTAGTTAGTTAGTTGGTTAATCGACAGATTATCCTCATTGCACATCGAACCACTCAGTCCATAGGTGTTTGGATCCCCTCCTCAGTAAATCCAGCGGCTAACGACACCAGTTCTGTGTTGGTTTATTTTTATTCTTCTTTGACTACCCGCGTAGTGTTCTTGTTTGGTGACACCCCGTTTAACATGTTGTTCTTGCAGTCTGACCATGGTTGCAGATTCACAGTTCTCAGTTCTCTTTAGCAATACATAAAGAACCTATGGCATATCATCTGCAAGCAAGTTGAAATGAAAATTCATAGATTATGCATCTTTCCCATGGCAGCTTTTGGATGTGAATCGGGGACTCTCAGTCAGTCTTTGAAAAAGAAAATTAGTGCTTTCAAACTGAAATGTTACAGAAGGGTTTTTAGAATGCTGCGGACTAAGAAGGAAGAAAAAAAAAACATCAACATCCAAAATGACCTTAACATCGAGAACTGTTTTGTAAACAGCATCACATGTTAATATCTTCATCCAGTCTACCATCTTCAGTGAATGTTGTTCCAAGATATTTAAACTCAGATGTTAGCTGTCACTAAAATTAGCAGTCCTCTGAAAATCACTGGAGCTGTCAAGCAGTTTGATTAAAGCTCCTGCTGATGTTGGTCACAGTGCAAGAGCAAATATGAGCTGCTGCAGTAGCATAATAGCAAGACACTTGCCAGCTGGATCCAAGTTTTGGGGCATCAAACGGCATGAAGTCCGATTTTTTTTTTTTTTTTTTTTTAAATTGGCCTTGGCTCTTGAGTTAGTTAGTTAGTTAGTCTTTCCTCTTGTGTCGAGTGCGGCACATAGGGCAGAGGTCGCGACTCTCCATGCACGGCGGTCCGTTGCAATCCGTTGTAGGTCTTGGATGTTTGAGTGGCCCATGAGCGAGCCTTCCCTGATGATAGTTCTACGTAGGGTTTCCCTTGGTCTTCTTGAGTAGACCCAACCTAAAATGGGTAAATTATGAGGTAATGTCATAGGAAGTAAAAGTAGCTGTTGTTATGTTGACTACGTCAACCATTGAGGATCAATTCTATGAAAATAAAAATAAAAATGAGTCTAGTGCCGAAATCCTGGTACACCTCTATGACGCAAAAAGGTCTTTTACTTTACTTACTTTTGTAAAAGTAGATGGTCATGAATCAGTGAGACATCTGTAAAGTCAGAAAAAAATTACCATACAAGGCATACACCAAAAAAAGAGATAGATGTAGATCAGGAGGTAGACCAAGAAAAACATGGAAAGATAACATCAGAGAAACTTGGTTTATCTACAATGGCACAATATGTCTCTGATCATGCCTTCTACTACTGTTCTTTCTAGTCTGTCATGGTGCTTGATAAGGCCAAAATATTTCAGGTTCCAAGACAAAATGCTGTTTACTAGCCAATTTTCCTTGATGATCACATCTTTTAGAATGTTGGTAAACACAAGCAAAAAAAAATTATAGAATGTGATTTTAAAAAAAAGATAAGGAGGACATGGGTAAACCACATGCAACTATAAAGGACCTTGCTTGAGCCGTTTGAGATGTAGTGCTTCACTAGGGGATAAAGGGTAGAAGGAGAAATAATTGCTGTGAATCTCTAACATAATCCATGTTTTATTTTTCAGCCCGAAAAAGTTTCCATCATTACAACTCCACGGATGAGGAAGCTCATGCAGTCATTGAGAATGCTTTTCAGACATTCATCCCGGATTTGAAGGCTGAAGAAGTATTCTATTTTAACTACACAGACAATTATTTTGTGAATAAGTATGGTGCAGTTTTGTAGGCAAGCCATTGTTTTGGGAGGCAGTAAATAGTAGTACAAAACTAAGATTGCCAATTCAAGATGAGAATCAAATTGAGCAGCTGGCTACATTGTTCTTCTGAATCTATTTTCTGTAACTAAGCTAAATTTGCTGACTGTAAGCTTCATTCTATAAGCTAATTTCTCTAATTGCAAGCTATGCTCTCTAACTGTATACTGTATTTTCTAACTATAGTCTGTATGCTCTAGCTGTGAGCTTTCTTCTGTAACCGTCAGCTGTATTCTCTTATTCAGAACAACATTTTCTAACTAATATTAATATTGTATTTTATCCCATATTTTGTCTTGTGCCTCCATTCTATTCAGTATGAGAAGATGACAAAGCAAGAATCAAGAATCCTACCTAAGAAATAAAGTTATCATGTTCACTGGAACATCAGTTTTGGTTAATTGTGCAATGATCTCATCTTATTATGCGGGACAGTTGCAGTTATTGTTATAATTAATTCTTGTACAATCAGAATGGAAAAAAAAAATCGAAAGTTGCCACAGTTTTACAGTAAACTTGTATTCTGTTTGTCTCCGAAAATATTGTATTTTGCCTTTTTACTGTTGCGTATTTTGGATACTTAGCTGGAGTATGTTGCTAATGAAAAATACCTAAAGCCTCTGAAGTCCCTGTGTGGGTTCAAGGGTGGGGAACCCCCTACTCCTTAACCAGCATGTCATAAAAAGTGATTGATTACAAATTTGCTGAAATCATATGTTCTGGGCTGAATGACATAGCCATCACAGTCTAGCTGTAAACCACAACAAGACATGCCAACCCTTTTTTTTTTTTCTGTAAGGATGAAAGCAGAACAAAAATAGCCATGACAGAAATGAAATGTTTACATATTATGCTAGATGTAACAAGGAAAGTCGATTTAAAAACAATAACATCAGGAGGAGAGTCAGCACAGAACCAATATTGAACTTTATTGGTAGCCAACAGATCAAATGATTTAGCCATGTAACAAGGTTGGAAAGAGACATGGCACCACAGAGAATTATGTTATACAGATATAGCAGCCACTGAGCCAGAGATTCACCATGCAGAAGGTGGACTACGTAAATACAGGAGACACTGAAAAGTACTATAAACAAAGCAAACAGAAGGGTCCATTCCAGATATCTGTTCCTGACCTGGTGCTTTGAGGCATTCTAGGAGTTGAGAAAAGAAGAAGAAATAAGGTAGAACAAGAAGAAATCTCTGAAGAAAACATTACCAGCCTAGATTCTCAACCAGCCAGTATGTACTGTGCTGAATCATTATCTGGAAAAAAATCCTAGTTTGTGTCTGTAAATGCAGTCATTTCACCTGCTGATTCACTCATTAATTCATTAATTACTATATTTATGTATTTTATACTCTTAGTTTAATTGATTATCACTGCATCGACTAAATGTTTCTTAAAATGTGTGCTTGTTTTTGTTAAAACTTCAGATTTTTCTTCTTTAATTCTGTTTTTAGTGGTGTATTAGACACGGATCATCAGCACCCAAAAAATCACCAAAAAACAGTTCTTGAATTTCTTGTGTCTGTATTTGCCTCCTGTGTAATTCTATCCATGTAAGTAATAAAGGGTAATGGTGAGAGGATGCATCCCTGTCTGACTCCTGATGAGATGTGGAACACATTTTTCATTCCTTCTGTTGTTCTCACTGTGCACTGACTATCTTGATAAAGCACCACAATGTTTCCCAGCAGTTGATCTTGAATACCATAATCTTCTAGAATTCGCCATAGTTTGCATCTACTGAGGGGTCATATAGTAACATGTAAAAATAGTGATAAAATCAAATTTAAATGTGGCTAGACCTATTCAGATTATACAGTAAAGTTATACAGGAAGCATAGACCAACTGAAAAAAAAAAAATATGTGCTCATCTGAAAAACTTATGAAAGCCATAATTAAATAAATTAGACATCAATCAATCAATCAGGTGCCGTCTCCACAATGAAGGTTGGCCGTAATGGATCTCCAACAAGCCCTGTCTCTTGCCCTTGATGTACACTCATTCATACTGCTATTTGTCCATCTCTTGATGTTATCCTCCCACATGTAACGCTGTCTGCCTCTTGCTCGCCTACCTTGAACCTTTCCCTCTAGGATGGTTTTTACAATACAAAATAAAACATAGAAAGTATTTTATAGTAATTAGTTAATCAATTGAAAATCCAGACTGATCAAGTCCATAAGCACTCAGATCCCATCCGTAGTTCTGTGTTGGTTTATCATTCTTCTGTGGCTATGTTTTTAGTGTTCATATCTGGCTACACCTCTTTTGACATGAAGTGCTGATAGTTTTGTCAAGGTTGCTGCTACACCACCCTCTCTTGAGTCATCTACTCGTCATATCTCCTAGAGAGCACTGAGAACATTGATCTGATCTATTGCTTTTCATGCCCGGCTCTCTAGCATAGTTGGCTAAGCCGGATTGCGCGGAGACCGGGTGACGAACTCCTTGTGGTCCGGGTTCAATCCCGGGGTTGGCAGGAAAGCCACATTTTCTCCCAGATTTACGGTATTTACAATGGAATCAAGGCCGAAAGGTTGCGATATCCATAATACCGAGCCTAAAGGTTAACAACTCATGGCTTCTGGATACTAAAACAAACAAACATTGCTTTTCACGTATCTACTGTGGTGCTGTGAGCAAGCCAGTCCCCTTGTTCCTTCCTGAGCACATGGGTCTGACTCATTCTTGCTCCATCCTCCAATGCAGCAGCCGTCTTGGTGTCTTCATGCTTACGGCACCCAGTAGTATAGTCCATACCAGAAGTTGTGACCAACTTTTAAAATCTGTAACTTAGTAACGATTGAATATCAATTGTTGAAAGTAGGCTTGCAACCTAATAATAATTATGCCCTTGTAAGATTACAAAAAAATGTGAACAAATGTCTAGCTTTCGTTTTGCCTTATTTGCAGTATATGGAGGGGGAAAAAAGACACTGATTCAGAGCAAACAGTCAGTATGTTTACAGTAAACTGAGTAATGTGAACTTTTCAAAACATTAAACTGCATATGTTTTATAGACATTTCTTGCTCAGATTGTCATCTCCAGCATTAGCCTCCCCTGAGTTAGAATAAAAAATTTTCATGATATGCAGTATAATGACAAAAAAATAACCCTGCATTGCTGCAAATGTGAATTGATTTCCAAGCAATCTCCATGCCTTTGTCAATTACTGTATACTCTATATTTTAGTAATACACAAATTATTAATCAAACAAAAATTTAAAAAATTTGCCGCTTTAAGAAAACAGCAACACCCGTGCAATTGTGAATTATGAAATCATAAAAACATGGGAAATCTAAGGCCACGTGCAAAAAAACTGTGTTGATTCATACAGTTTTTAATATATTTAGTGAAGTCTGAGGGCACAACTTTTGAAACTTATTATAGTATGCATCGCATCTGAGCTCTGCAGCACGTCCACCACTGCTTCGGTGAGGGTTGCGTTAAAAGTATATCATGTCAGTTCAAGCTAACAAATGCATGGTAAATATTGTTCAACATCATTGTTCATCAATAGTTAGTTAGTTCGTTAGTTTGTTTGTTAGTTAGTTTAGTTAGTTAGTTTGTTAGTTAGTTATTTAATTGACAGATTATCCTCATTCTACATCGGACAAGCCCATAAGCGCTCTGATCCCATCTTTAGTATATTCCCCAGTATGCGGCGACTGGTAACACTAGGTCTGTGTTGATTTACTAATCTTCTTTTGCTACCTGTACAGTGTTCGTGTTTGACGACACCTCTTTTAACCTGAAGTTCTTGTAGTCTTTTGAGTGTTGCCCACTCACCATCGTCTCCTGAATTGTCTTCTCATTCTGCCTCCTTAAGAGCACTGGCGCGGTTCACAGCTTTTCATGTACCTACCGTGGCCCTACCAGCAAGCCAATCCACTTGTTCATTCCCTCTTACCCCAGAGTTTCCTGGCACAAAAATGAAACTAATTCCTTTCAGACGAGATTTCCTCAGGGTCTCCAACCATTGTCTTCGAATCCATCCTCTCTCTCTCTCTCTCTCTCTCTTCCTCTCTCTCTTCCCTCTCTCTCTCTCTCTCTCTTCCTCTCTCTCTTTCTCTACTAAGCAATGGAATCGCATAGAGAGCATGCATATGAAAGATTACTGAAAGAATATGGCTGTGTCTCTAGAACAGTGTTTCCCAAATTACCGTTACCGTTCCCCGGGGGGGGGGGGGGGGGGGGGGGCTCTGTGACAATCCAGGAAGCGGTAGCAGTCTCGATGAAAAAAAGAAAAAAAAAATACAGCAGCAGAAAGAGAGGAGGGAGAGAGAGAGAGAGATCATTTTGATAAACTGGGGGCCTTTTGTGGAATAAGTCTCAATCTCATAGGCTGAACCAGCTAAAACGGACTTGTGAAACCTATACGAGATTCAAAATGTGAGCTTACGAATAATCCACGAAACAATGAGAAGCACTCCCGTAGACAGTACACATCTCTTATTTAGTCTGAGAAGCTTAAGAGACTTCCAAACAATCTACTGAACTTCAAAAAGCACAAACTATCAAGAAAAAGTATAAATCATTTTGCAAAAGAACCTTTGACAATATGCGGATATAAAATCTGACATAATGATGGGTGAAGCTCTCACACCAGAATTGTGGATTAATTGTCCATTCTTATCCGGTACAGTTGTGGAAGTCCCAGGAATAATCTCCCAAAAATAACAGAACAAAGAGCTTTTAAACTTTATATACTCAGAAATCATTATCCCTCTAATATTTGGATGCAGCCCTATCTGTCTCAGAGCTTTAAAACCTTAAAGACACTCTTAAAACAATCTATGAAGCTGCACTGGAGAGAACAAAAGACTACAAAAATTACAAGCCATAGCATATTGTAAGGTGAGGAAAGAAAGACGATACAAAACAATATTGCCATTGTATCATTCTTTTTGTTTGATAACAGGACGTATATTTCAAGGCAAGGAATAGGTCCAGAAAC